ATTTTTATATTTTGACATATGTAAAGATAAATATTTGTTACAGAGATACCCCTTTTATTGAATAATCTTTGATGAATTACAGATTTGTTCGAATTTTTAATTTACATTTCAACATTCATCCACAACATTGACACTTCAGAAAAGAATTAAAATTGAATAAGTTTGAATTGAGGTCAAACGACGATAAATTAGCTCTAAAAGTTGACTCACGCTGATCATAATAAAATATTGGAAGTTATATTAATACAAAAAGCATAAATTTCGTTATTGTTCCAAATATTACGATATTCTCAATTTAAATTGTAACCTAAAAAAGAAATAGGAAAACGTGCGTGTGGTTACGTATACAGGACGTGATAGAAAGGCAAATATGAAGTGTTGCATGAAAAATACTAAAAACAGTGGGCGCAAAGAAGATAATTAGTATAAATGAAAATCAATATTACTGCAATGAAATAATGAAACAATATTAATTAAAGTGTGAAATGATTGAAAAATTAAAATTGATAAATTTGATGATGTGAGAAATTTCTAAATATTAATCTTCTTCCAGGAAGAGGATTTATGACAACCTCATTAAATATGGAATAGTTTTGATGGAAGTATTCCCAAGATGATGGTGTCAAAAAGGTGTCATATCTCTAAAAATATTTAAAGGAAATAAGAAAAGTAAAGACTAAAATGAGAGAAAGAGAGAGAAAGAGAGAGAGAGAAAGAGAAAGAGAAGAAAGTATTAAAAGAGATATTTTGGTAGATTTATGGACTGAGTGAAGTGAAATGGAGTGTAAAGAATGTAAGTAACTATTAACAAAAGGCATTATTCCTTATTATTCTATTGAAATAGTGAGAGAGAGAGAAAAAAATGGAAGAAAAAAAAAGAAAAAATTATTCTTTAAATTCATATTTGATTGTTTAATTATTATTGTATATAGAACAGTTCTGTCACATTTTTACCACTCAAAATTCGGCTCAATGCCGAAAATTCATTCAAATTATTCCATTATTATTTCATTTATAGTTCCTAATATAAAGTTTAGTCAATGATCAATTTATTCAATTCGCCGTTCCTAGCATGGAATTTAATTAATAATTACTATGGAATTAATAATCAGTACGGTTTTGATGTTGAGATACATTCGAACATTATTACTCCAATTAATAGTATATGAACAATTTTTTTTGAACATTTTCAAAGCGAAAAAAAATTGTTGAGAAAAAAAAAAACAAATGATGGAATTTTTATCCATTGATTTGAAAAGGTCACAGATAATTTCCAATTTTCGCTTAATTAAAAAACGAAAAAATATTATGCATGAATTTCATTCAATATTTACTATGGAATTAATAATCAGCATAATTTTTATCGCTTTTCTTCCAAAAGTGATCAGTGTCATTTTCAAAAAATAGTTAACTGAAAGAAGAAAATCGTGTTCTTTGCTGCATTAATTCCGAAAATACACAAAAAGATTTGAATAAAAAGTTTTATTTAAGTCAATACTTTGATTGATTTTCGTGACAATTTAGAATTTTAGATATTATGATTTCATTCTTCCTTAATGCTATTTGAAAAAGAATTACATCGCATTTAATTAAAACTGGTTGATGATGCTTGTTTAAAAAGCCTGAAAAAAATTTAAAAAAATGAATAAGAAGTTCAGAAATATGATAGGAAAAGCAAATGAAAATAAAACAACAGCTTTATTTTCGTTTTTTGCAAAAATACTAAATTCCTTTTTTTCATAACTTAAAATATATAAAATTATTTTTAATTCATGCTTTCTTCTCTTTACAAAAGACGAAAAACATTGATAAACTAATTATGACCTGTCAAGGCACAGAAAATTAAAATTGAATTAAACAGATACTTTGTTTTAGAATGATGTCGGAAAAATTTAAGAAAAAGATGAAGGGAAAAAATAAAGTAGAATTTGCTAATTAGCATGAAATACAACTGTAACTATAAAAACTGTATATAATTTATTGCTCAAATTATCATCATTAAACGGACAAACCGGAATGACAAGGGACATTCCGGTTGGAAGAACAAAATGCAGAAAAATTGGCCGACACCAAATTTTCCAGTTATTTCTATTCAAATTTTTTTCAATACGACCAAGAACTAAATATGCTTTTATCATATTGGTACTTAAATACACCAAATAGATTTTGCTGAGTGAAAAGAGAAGGGAGGAAAAAGAAAAAAGATAGCTTAAGTAATTTCAAATTCTTGGTTATCACTGTATTTCTTCTCAAATATTTCAATATTTCACAGTATTTAATTTAATGATTTGAGGGACAGATCCAAGGGCCGGGAACGCGTAGGAAACAGAAAAAAAAGACGAGAGTAATAAAACAATTATTTGACGGAGTGTTTCCGAAATATACTCTTTGCGCACTTTTCATTTAATTACTTCTTCGAAAAGATTGTAATCTACATCCTCTGATAATATCAATTAATTTGTCGTTGCTCCATTCATAAGCTTCACTGAATGACGACTTTTTGGAGATAAATTAAATACTTTATTTAAAAGAATTTATCATCCGTTACAAGTAATAATTGGCATGAAATTGTAACTTTTCATTCGGTACTTCAATAATATGTGTTAAAACTTCTTTTAATACTTAAATATAGCTAACTATTATTACATGACTGATAATAAATTGTTTTTTATTTTAAATAAAATGTTTTGTTTATGACCAAATAATTTAAAGTACTTAAAAAATTTAAATTCAGCCATTTTGTATTAATATTTGCTTATTTGTTACGGTACGTGGCAAATAAAATTATCAAGTAATCAAATCAATTCATGCAAATTGGTGATTGAAAAATTCCGCTAGAAGTTAGCAAAGAAGCAAAATTAATCTTTATACAAAAAATACTTCCATTCAGTACTTCATCATATCTATTTTTCATTTATATGATAAATTTCCTCCTTTTTTTAACTATTGAATATTGGCAGCAATTTAATAATAATAATTCTTCAAATATTTAAATCATATAAGATAATAACCAAAATATTGCTACACCAAATTTGTAGTTACTTATCAACTCAAAATCTTCGAATTATTATCAATAAAATTGGAAATTTACGAAAATTTTATTTGATTTATTTTGTAGAATTTCTTATTTCTTTCCACTGGAATACTCTACATTAAACAATTTATCATTTTTTTTGCTCAGTGATTCGACATTTGGACTAAAAAATGAAAAATGTTACACAGCAATGTATGAAAATTTGATGGTAAAAAAAAGAAACGAATAACTTCGAAATTCATTTAATTACATTAAATATTCAAAGCAATGCTTTTGGTGTTGAAACTTTCAATTCAATGTTTCATAGTACTATTATTTGTTGATATAATACATATATCCATCCAGTAAGCAAAGCATTTAAAATTATCAGTTTTTATATAATGTTATACAAAAAAACAGATTAGGGATAAGAATATTGTGAAATACAACTTGTAAGTATAAAAATAATAAAAAGTCGAAAATGTAACTTAAGCGATTATCACAGAATTTCTAGCAAGACATACTTCTAGTTTAATTCATCATAATTTAAATGAAAAATAAATTCTTTCAAACAATTCAAATTTCTCATTCACTGAGTTGCTTTTTTGTATGGCAAACTGTAATCAATTAGATGCTATTAATTTCACATATAAGTATGATGATTTTCAATGTATTTAGGATAATAACTGACAATTTCATCGCAATAAAAAAACAAGAATGAAACATAACAATTATAAGTTGGCAAGAGACTATCGATTTAAAGAGAAAAATAATTAATAAGCATGAAAATTACCAATGTAAACCTGTTATTAAATATAATAAAAAACCGATAGATTTAAAAATTGACATAAACAATTATCAGTTCCTAATACATTTAAATATTAAGAAAGAAAATGAAAGAGCAGTCTAACAGCAAATGTCATAAATTTCAAATATAATCCTATCATATATTATTCCACATTTTCTCGGGATAAAATGTTAGCAGCAAAAATCACGATACTTATAACTCCAAAAATGCATAAATTTAATGGTACATATAATTCAAGGGAAGAAAATTCTGAAATAATTCAACTGAAACAAGAGTGTGAATAGAAATGATAGTATGAATGAATTATATGGGAGCACAAGCATTTACAAGCCATTCATACTCTTTTTTCTTGCCTGTTTCCAATAAATAAGGACCAACTTTTTCAAAACACATGACATGATAACGGTTAAACCACTCAATCTGCAAATTATTGAAATTTATGAAAAAAATTCAGATCAATTTACTTTTTCTCAAAAGATGTCTATCATAATTTTTTTTGAAATTTAAAATCGATATAACGTTTTCTCAATAGTTTTTAAAAGTAATCTCAAAATATATATTTCCCAACATATTTCCAAAAATTGGTACCGAAAACTACGGGCAACCAATGTGGCTTTTCGAAATCTGCAATCAATGGACAATGATGGATGATTGTAATTTCAAAGTTACAAACAAATTCGATTAATGACTAATAATAAATAATAAGAATCATCTAATTAGAATAAGATTAGATTAGCACGGCGCTGAAACTTCCATTACAAAAAAAATTCCGTATATGTCCATTTCTAATAGTCATTAAAACTAATTAAAATTCTAATTATTTCATCTAACAGAGAATAAAATACTTTGAGTTTATCAAAATTGCAATAAAAAATTGATTTCGATACAAGTTTACTTCTGCTTCTAAGCTAATCCATGAGTCAAAAAAGAAAACAGTTGTTGATTTTCTCCTCGACTATTGACTGTTAGAAAAAGATAGACACCATCTCCGGATGTCACATACCTTCCAACAAACCTTACGAGGAATTCGTAATCAAAAACGATAATTCTCAAATTATTAGATCCTTCCAAGTTTACTAACTTATATTTTTTTAAAAAAAAAAATTATAACTGCCAGATTTCAAAAACTTTTTAAAAAAGCACTTCAAAAATTCATTATGAAATTTACCTCTTCCAATGAAAGTAAAGTTTTGTCCACCAAAGACTTCTGTATTGGTACCAAAGTCAACGGTGAAAAAGTTAGAAAGTTCTTTGCATTTGAACGCACTTTATCAGCAGCTACAACCTGAAAAAAATGCATTTAGCATAATCAACGTATAATGAGTAAATTACTAAATCTGATTTTTCTAACAATATGGATAAAGAATATTAGAGAAAATTCACTTAATTTGTTTATTTCACTTTTTTATCACTGCGTGCCCAAAGAATCTATAAGTCGAGATTTGTATAAAAATTGCTGCAACAGCGGTTTAGATGTAAAAGAATACATTCTCCTTTTCCAAAAGAAACCATAAAATTTCTTTTTAAAAGGTTTAAATCAAATACTTCTTGCTATGCATATTTCAACTGATTCCAAAAATTGTGAAAAATAAATATTTTCAAAACAATTAATTTCCAAAATAATTTTGTTCTTATAACTTCTATAATTATTATCTGTTAAATTGACCTCATAACAATTTTCAATTCTTATGCCCCATTTGCCTTCAACATAAAAACCAGGCTCAATTGTTATCACATTTCCTTTACGAATTCCACCTTCTTTTTCGTATTTGCGAAATGTAATACCAACTAAAAAAATTTATATTATAAACGAAAAAAAAAGAATCGGAAATGAACGACTACACAATAACCAATATTAAAACTTTTTTAACTTCACTCGTTAAATCTTTATTTACCTGGTCCTTCATGTACATTCAGAAAATGTCCCACACCGTGCCCTACACCATGCTGAAAATCTAATCCATCATTCCAGAGATATTGCCGTGACAATGCATCCATACGTATTCCTAAAAATCGTTGATCCGATTATCATGTAGCTAAATTGTTCACCACATAGCTGGTGCTAGTTTTATCAGGATCAGGGAACTGGCAAAGTGAGCATAAAATCGAAATATGTATGAGATTTGATCAAATTAGAAAGCTAGTTCAGATATCAAAATTCAAATAAGTAAATTTTACCGTTTACACCATTAGGAAAAATGAGCTTAGCATTAGCAATATGTCCTTTAAGGACCAAAGTGAACATTCTTCTAAATTCCATATCCTTATTATCTGGAAAAGCAATTGTTCGTGTTACATCGGTTGTCCCATCGCTGTAATTTTCAGAATATAGTTTACTTTTCAATTTCGAAATAATACTATGTGTCTATAAGTGAAATTATTAAAATTACCGGTAATGTCCACCAGAATCGATTAAGAATATACAAGACTTAGTCAGCAGTTGTTTACCCGTTGTTGGAGTACTTCGATAATGCGGTAAGGCTGCGTGCTCATTCACCGCTGCTATCGTTTGAAAACTTAAATCAACAAAAAGAGGTTGTTTGCTACGAAATTCATCCATTTTCTTACCAGCAGCTATCTGTAAAATACGAATACGTATCCTATGCGATGAAAAAGGCAAAACTAAATAAGTGATGTCCATTAAAATTAAATTAAATAAATATACTTCAGTAATCTCTTTGCCAGCAGCTATCTGTTCTTCCAACCAGACAAGGTATTCAGTTATCGCGGCACTATCACGGATCTGAAAATAACATTTAAAAAAATGAATATAATTGCCTTGCTTCATAAAAGATATATCTCAAATACAACAAGTATTGAATACATCGCGAAAAAAATTTCTTGAAGTTTAAATTCTAAATTCAATATTTTCTGGATAAATTGTTATCAAGGTCCATAAAAAATTCGACTATCACCTCAAGAAAAAAGTGAATAAAGGCAGTTCTACAACACCATAGAAATTACTGAATGTTTGAACAATTTAGCCATCCCTATCAAAAGAGCCTACACTTGATCTTCTCATCCCGCTTAATTCGCACTCATTCTTTATAGCTTTTATAAATTGAACAGGCGAAGCTAATGATACGCCATCATCCGGCTCGACCAAAGCTCCCAATTCATAATTTGTTGAGTCTGGAATGCAAACCTATAACAAACATTGTATAAATTAAATTTTTGCCGCGTGGAAAATGAATAGTCACAAAAGGAGCTAATAATAAAGCTTAAAGAAAAAGGAGCATTATAATTCAAACTTTTAAGAACTCTTTTAAGTCTCCAACTTCACCAT